TAATGTCACGAAGTAGTGAATTCTTTATTTCTACTAAATCTTTTAACGTAAAATTTTTCCAAAATTTAAAATCATTATTAAATTTCTATTTTAAAATAAAAAGAAAGGTCAATTCATCATTAATAAAATTTGCCACATAAGCAACCAATAAAGACTTGCCATCTCACCTTAATATAACCCACATAAGCTTGTCTTTTGGCGACTTTTTAGCAAACGGAGTCTTAAATATTATATTAAAAGATTATATTTTTTATAACTAAAAAGAAATTTTTATACAATCCTTTTTTAATTATGAAACATTATAAAAGCTTAAGTGAGATTGTAACAAAAAGCACCCTAGCTTGGATGGTTAGCAACTCAACTAAATGACCAAGAGATCCTTGTTTCAAATCCCATGGTGGTATGCTTTTGGAAAAAAATTGCAAAAAAAGAACTGGTCTAACCGGTCAAACCGATCGGTTTGTCTAAAAGAGTGACATATTAGCTCGCCACATGTCGCGCTTTAACTTTGCCAAATGTCACCACATCAGCTCGCCACATGTCGTGCTTTAACTTTGCCAAATGTCACGTTCTCATAGCTCCGACTCTGCTTTATATATATAAAGGATGCATGTATGTTCGCCATTTGACCACCCGCCTCTCACCATAAAAAAGGTCCTCTCGCCCGCCCCTCGCCACTCGCCATTAATAACTATGCTAGTACATTACCGTTACAGACGCCGGTACCGCCACCGTCACCGGCGACGGGCACGGTGATCCAATTTTGGGAACCGGTACCAAAACCGTCCAGCACGGTACCGATTTCGGTACCAGTTTTTCAGTACCGGCACCGGCGGTACCGGTACCGATTCCATTACCGATTTATTTTTTTCTTTTATTGCTTATGCAGGCCTGCACACTATGACACTATTGGGGGAACCTCTTCAACGACATTATAGCCTTTTGAGGGGAAGGGGGGTGGTTTGGGGGTTTAACATTATAAATATCCTCTCAATTTTTTTTAAAATACCACACTCAATTCTCCATAAAATCTTAAATTCTCATTTCTCAATCCCTTCCTCTCTATTAATCCTTATTATCTCTCTTCAATCTTTATAATAATAATATTAATATATATTAATATATTATATAATATATAAATATATACTCATATAATATTAAATGTTTAGTCATGCATTCATATATGACTAATATATTATATTGTTATAAATTAATATTATAATTTCAAAATTCAATATATAATTAAAATTTTAAATATTTAATGTAGTTCATTTTTTATCAAAATAAAAATATATTAAAATATCGAAAGAGTCCGGTAGAAGGTCCGTGGATATGGGCATTGTGAACCGAAGTTCGAGGAAAGGCAAAGCTAAAGCCACCTCCGATGGTTCCAGCTCAAGTGGTTCTCAAGGAAGGCACTCTGTCTTTTCCTTCCCTACTACCCCTGATCAATTTGTGGCTCACGCTATGACGGATCAAGAATTTGAACAGTATTTGAGAGGTAGGACGGACGCCAATCATCAAACACTTGAAGATATATTCAAGGACATTGATGAAGCAGAAATGGACGTGGAGCTTACACCGAAGAGCAACAATCCTACCGGCACCGATGAGGAGGCAGGTGAGCCCCGAGACCTCCCAAAGTCCGGGGAAAGGTAAAAAAAATTAAAATCTGATTTATTTGTTTATCATTTTTCAAAAGAAACAAAAATGGCGAAATTTTTGGAACTTGTAAATATTGTGGCACTGTCATATAAATGAGAATTTCCGGAGGTTATGGTGGTCCAGAAAAACACCTAAGGGCGAGGCACCCCGTGGAGTACGCCAAATACGCGGCGAAAAAGAAGGGACGACAAGAAGTGCAAACCCAAAATTCTCGGTTTGCTAATAGGGGTAAGGGCAACCTTTTTCTTTATAGCGACGAGCAAAATAAGCAAAAACTGGCCGAAATGATTTGTGAAGAAAATTCGCCATACATATTTTCTTAAAAACTTGGATTTATTGATTATTGTCAAAATACATTAAACCCTCAAGCAAGATGTTTTTAAAGAAAAACAATTAAGAGAGAAATTATTAGACAATATAAAGTTGAAAAAATAAATTTGGCAAATTTTTTTCTCAATTTTAATTCTTGTGTTACTATTTGTTCTGATATTTGGAGTGAAACCTATCATAATTTGTCTTATATGGCTGTTACTTGTCATTGGATAGATAGTGATTGGATTATGCATAAACGTGTTCTTGCATTTCGTGATTTCAATTAATCTCATACTGTTGAAAATATTTTTCAATTGTTTAAGCGTATTCTCCAAGAATACAATTTAGTTAATTAATAAAGTGTTTGCATTTGGTTTCGATAATGCTACTATTAATACTGCTGTTACTCCTAGTTTTAGAGAAATTTGCCCCCTACTACGAGTATGGGTAGATTTTTACATCAAAGGTGTGTCTGTCATGTTTTAAATTTATGTGTTTAACAGGGATTAGAAGCTATGGAGGGGGGGGGGGTTTAACCAATATTAGAAATGGAATTTAAAAAAATTGGGGTAGTCGCGTTAATACAAAAGCCTGAAAGTTGTACTGTAAATCTAGGGATATAAAACCAATAACATTTGCTAAAGATATCACCATTAGATGAAATAGTACATACAAGTTGTTAGCACAGATTCTAAGCTACAAAGAGGAACGTGCTGCATTTCTTAGGAATGAACTTCATTTTATGATTACATTGAATGAATTTATTATTGTTGAAAAATTGAATTCCGTATTAGAAGTTTTAATAACGCAACTCTTATTTTCTCGCATGTTTACCAACCCATTACAAATAGATTTTTTAAGGAGTGTGTTACAATTGCAACATGTTTTCGTGAAATTTTATCTGATCCAGAGTTGTACCCCTATGTCTCTCCTATGAGGGATAAATGGTGTGCTTATTATTTGTACATTCATTATATTTATAAAATTTGTATTATTTATGATCCTCGCTTTAAGATTGAAAATTTTCAAATTCTGATTAAGTATATTATTACACTTATTTTTTAGACGAAAATATTTATTACTACAACCATTTAATAAAATGGACAGAAGAAAGAGATAATGCTATTAATCTTTTTGAGACTTTACTTAAAGAATTTCAAGAAATATACGGTAATGCACCGGAAGAAACAACACCTCCTCCGCCTCCCAAAGCAAAAAAAGGTTTTAAAGGGATAGTCGGTGGGCTGTTGGCAAAAAGGTAAGCGTGGTCACACTTCGACGAGTTCAGGTGGTACAACTGTAAGGTCGCACAACGAACTTGCTATGTACCAAGGGGTGCCATGCGATTACGACGACTACGATGACGTGGACTTTGGCGTCCTCGCATGGTGGAAGCGGAATGAACACATGTTCCCGTGTCTTGGAATGCTAGCCACACAAGTTTTATCCGTCCCGGTATCAACCGTAGATGTGGAACAAGAATTCAGTTCTAGCAGTAACATTCTAACCGACTACCGAACTTATCTTAGGGGCTGTTTGTTTCAGCCTCTTAATGGTTCAGATATCTGAATGGTTCAACACTTAATGGTTCAGACTGTTTGTTTCAGCCTCTTAATGGTTCAGATGTCTGAATGGTTAAGAGATTTGCCTCTGAATGGTTAAGTATTATACAGAGTCTGAATGGTTAAGACATCTTATCTGAATTGATCAGACATTTGCCTCTGAATAGTTAAGCAATATACTAGCTCTTAATGGTTCAGACCTCTTACTGGTTCAGCACTTAATGATTCAGACCTCTTACTGGTTCAGCACTTACCTATTCAGAAGTTGCCAAACAGCCCCTTAGTACTGAATCGCTTGAGACACTTGCGTGCAATCGAGATTGGCTCTTGACAAGACATCGAGCTCAAGAGTCAGGGTACGACATTAATTCTGAACATTACATGAATGCAACCACAGATGGAAGCCCTAGTTCCGAGGAATAAGTTATAAACTTTTTTTATGTTAATGAAATTAGTGTTTTTAGGTGAGCGATATATAAGCTCCTTCGAGGGTTTCTTTACAGTTTTTTACCTCGTTGCTTTTTTTGAACCGTCTAGATATTAAATGTAGTTGTTCGTTTTATAACTCATTTTTCAATATTTAAATAACAACTACATTTTTAGATATTTTATTTCATTATTTCCTTTAATACTTACACTTCTAAAAAAATTTAAAAAATAGGAGGGTGGCTGAAACCAGCCAGTACGGTACCGGAACTGTCGGTACCGTCTGATCCGGTGACGGTAACGGTACCTAGGGGTGGCGGTACCGGAACCGGAACCGTCCCGGAACATTCAATACGTATAACATTTTTGAACACATCGGAGTTTGATCCTATACCAAATCATTCAATACGTATAACATTTTTGAACAATATTATCATGCAAATCACACAATTTTGAAGTAAGAAAACATATCTGGTCATCCTCGTTCAATCAACTCCAATAATATCATATACTATAAATAAATCATAATTCAATTATAACCAAATAAACTACGTAATCAATCATACGAAACTACGAACGTGGATTTTAAACCTATATATGAAATATAGTGTTAGATGTCCACGTACCTATTATTTGACGAATTAAATGAAACAATTGAATCGACAAACGGATAGGACGAACAACGGTAACAGAGTTATCTTTCCGGTGACTCGAGCGGCAATCACAAAGGTGGCAACGGACAGTGGAGCAGCGGTGGCATCTCCAGTCGGCTCCTTTCTTCATCTCCAGTGAAGGTCGTATTTTTATACTCCAGGGTGTATAAAATATGTTTTAATCCCAATTACTCCGTATATATTTTTCCCAAACTTTTACTTAAAAGTTTCAAGAAATACTCCGGAATATAAAATTGTGGTTAAAAACTATTTAGATAAATAAAAATAGTCAACAAGCATTTTTCCCCATAGATGTCATCGAACATTATTTTGAAACATGCAAAAATTCAAAACATGAGGATTATGTTCAGATAAAAAACATGGGGATTGATTTGGATTAGTACGAAATTAATCCGCCCTATAAGTTGACTGAACTTGCCCCTTGTTTACACGCTCCATACATCCCAAAATAATCATCTTAGTTATTATGTTGGCCTCTCAATAACTTAAATTTACTTGTGTGTTCATTGATTATTAATGCGTAAAATAAAATATTCTTGTCACATCTTATTTTATAAAACTTTTGATGTAGTTTTAAAACATATAATTTACAATTTTTATTTAAATACCAATTGAAAATAAAATCATTTTAAAAGAAATAAGATTGTGCAGTTGTTGAGACAATTATTTTGAGACAAATGAAGGGTCAGTTTGGTACACGGAATTGGAATTGAATTGGAAGTTAGAATTCTATAAAATTGATTTGGGTGGAATTGAGTACTCTAATTCCAGTTCATTTTGTGGCACCACCACTTCCAAATCCACATATTTTTGTGTGATACCAAACACTAGAATTGGAATTGTTGTGTCTAATTCCAATTCCATCGTTGGAATTCTGTGTACCAAACGGAGCCTAAGACAGAAAATTTGTGGAGGGAAGAGTGAAAGAAATAGCAAACTTAACGCCACGGAAAGAGACATTATCTATTCATTAAGCATATATCATAAATGTGATGACAAGCAAACAAACAGACATAGGAAATGATAGCCAAACTGTAAGTGCCATACCGATTATATGCAGCAATACTATAAAGTACCCAAAAGTTCAACTACAAGAGCAGTCACTCATGGCTTTCATTTGCAATCCAACACGAAACCCGCCCGCCCGGACAATAGATTCTCACAGTGGACCACAGCTAGATTTTTACCGGGCCGGTATTAATGGGTTTTTGGAAAACCTTAACTGATGGCATACCATCACCGCCGTCATTGCTGACTCTCCAGGTCCGGTCTTTCTTTCTCTGTGGTTTCTTATGCTGTTTGTGGGGTGCCTTTGAGGACTTCTTTTTATTGGCTGTTGCAGCATTTCTAGGGGCTATCCCATTGGCCATGTCAAATGCATTTAGATCATTCAAGACGTGGTCAAGACTTGGTGCATCCTCTAGTTCACTTCCCAAAGGTTGTTCATCAATTCCAGATGAATCATCGTCTGAGAGGCTGGTCCCACCATCATTATCATCATTTGGATTGTCGACGTTGTGGTGGGCATCAGTACCACCACCACTACAGCCATCACCGACATCGGGTGGAAGTTCATAGTGAGGAAGCTTACCGTTAACAAAATCCTTCAAAATTTGGCGGGCTGCTTTAGTTTCATCAGGCAGTCCACTTGAAGAGACGTAATTACGGGATGCACAATAGACCCTCAAAAGCTCTGATGCCAAAGGTGGGCGCGATTGTGGTTCATATGGTTTTGGTTTTGGCAATGAAATCTTATAGACATCTTCTATGACTTTTCTAGGAACTCGGTTTGCCACAACCTGAACAGCATGCCGGTGCTCAGTCATGCGATCAATCGGCAAAACCCCCGAAGCAATCATCTCGTATCTTGAACTTGTGAAGGACGGGAACACTAGACCAGGGCAATCACATAATGTGAGTTTTTCAGATATTATCAGTGTCTGGAAATGTTTTGTCTTCCCTGGAGTGGAAGTTACACCGGCCCGTTTTGCCCCTACTAAAGCATTAATGGTTGAACTTTTCCCAACATTGGGATACCCTACAAATCCAACCATTACACCTCTAGTTTCTGCATTTCTTGTTGAAGTCGTGGGATGAATGGGCTTCAAAATTTTCCTAGTCAAGGCTATATCCTCTGCTTCAGACAATAGACGAGACAATAGTTCCTCCCTACCATAGATTCTTGTCTTATCATCACTGGATTCATGCACGTTATCTTGAATCTCGGAGGTGCCAAGTTCTTTCCTTTCAAGATCTTCAGAAGCAGCCTTTGCCGACCAAAATACATAGAGAATGCCATGAAGGTGAAAGTATTCAGCCCATTTTTTCCTGCAAAGTTACAATTTTCCCGTTAATTTTTTGTGGGGTGTGGTGTGGATGGCGTGTGTGTGGTTGGGACGGGGTAGGAAAGAGAAGATTGAGAGAAAATAGTACATCCAAAAAATGAGACCACTAGCTCCTAGACGTCTAAACATTTATGTGATATTTACCTGATAGATAAAGGTAAAAGATCTGCTTTATTTACTAGAAGCATTGTTTTCTTGTGTTCATCTACTTCTCTGGCATATTCCTGTAAGTGGATGAAGCAAAATACCAGATCCACATTTGCCGTTATCAACATATTCATCAACATGAATGCACACACACACACACAAAGGGTTCCGGCCACCCATATTACTAATAAATAATCATTAGACATAAAAGAAACCCAAAAAAAATGAAAAAATCAGAGACATGAAAGGAAACAGACAAGTTTTTATATCTACATACACTTTGTAGGATTAGCCACAGACTAACTGTTATTCTGAACCTGTCATACTATCATTAGGTGAGGTTTGAAAAAGAAACAGTGGTTATGTATGACATAGGCAGAAAAGTCTTGCAGATGTCGATTCTTATCTTTTGGAGTAAGTGGTAAATATTTAAGTGAAATTAATCACTGCATCTGCTCACTCAAAGATTTAGTGGAGTCACCGAAAGTTTTATTTTTTGGACATTTTGGTCACTGGAAGAGTGGGAGTATTGATATTTTGGTCACCGGAAGATTTATTGCATTGGTGTCTCGGTGAATGTGTTATTTTTGAAACCAGAAGCAAGAACCGCGACAAAACGGTGGGGAGTCTCAAAACTATATTTTGCAGCAGAACTCGGCGATCATAGAGCATTAGAGTGGGGCGGAAGAGAGAAAGCGGCAATTCAAAAATAAGGCGACAAAGTCTCAGAAAGTGGAGGTGATCATCTTTGTCGAAAGAAAGGCCACACTATAGTATAAACAAAGTAATCCCACAAGTGGTGTCTCAGACTCTCAGGAGGGTAACATATGCAAACATATGCAGACCTTACCTCCACCCGTGAAGGGACTGAAGGGTGGAGACGCCGAGAGGTTGTGTCTGCTAGACCCTAGCTCAAAAGGTTGACAAGAAAGGAAGCAAGCAAAGAGTAAATTCCATAATTGGTCCTTTATAACAGGGGTTTTCTCTATTTAGACCTCTATTATCAAATATTACCCCGGTGGTCTTTCTTTTATGGGCATCTCTCCACAAATAGTCCATTTTAAGATTTTTTTGTCATGTTGGGGTTAATTTGAGGGCTAAAAGTGTAATTTAACAATGATTATATATCTTTCTTGTCATAGACAATTTCAGAGGTTGCTTTTGATGCGTCGTTTGTAAATTATGGTCGCTTTCTACTACAACCATAGTCTATAGATGTGGTCTTTCGTTGAAATCCTAGTCCACAGTCATAGTCATTATTGTTGTATTGTCCATCTAACAGACATCAGAATACGTCACTGAACATAAGGTTGATGTCAAATTACACTTTTGGCCCTCAAATTAATACCAACATGACAGAAGATCAAAAAAGGACTATTTATAGAAAACTACCCATAAAAAAACTACGAGGGTGATATTTGATAATAGAGGACTAAATACGGAAAACCCCTTATTATCAAGGACCAATTATGGAATTTACCCGCAAACAAATAAAGGGAAGGAAAATATGGCACTTCAATATAGAAAGAATATGCTATGGGTGAAGGTTAAGAAAGTAAACTCTAACACTACTTAGCTTTTTGGACGAGGAATGTTTAATAACTTTCAGATCTAGACATCTAGTCAAACCCATCCAATAATGTTGCTTCCCCCTTTTCATAAATAAACCAAACCAAGCACGCCAATTATATCCCACTTAATTGTAAGGTCTTGAGGAAACAATATGTACTCAGACCTTCGCCTCACTCTAAGGAATAGAGAGGCTGTGTCTGTGACCATAACCCCTTAAAGGATTCAACAGCCTATCGCCTCGCGCCCTTTTCATAAATAAACGCATATGTAATGCAATAAACCTGCAGCTAAAGAACCTTGTATACATGAAAATTACTTTTTCTTCTCATTTAATATCATTCTCTCAAGTGGCAAGTGACTACATGAAATAAGTAAAGAGGCAGCTGTACTGGATGAGAAACATCCAAAACACTCAAAACGCTTTTCTAAACATAAACGTTAGACATCACCTCAAGATCAGGGCAGCGGTAAAAGAGTGGGTCCCGAGCATCAACCACCATCACAAGCTGGGGCAGGGAAAAGGGATAAAATTAGATATGCAAAACATAAACCTCAAAATTATGAAATGATACACATTTACAGGTTAAGAGTATATACAGAGTTACGACTTAGTAAAACTTCTGCAGGTGTATGTTTAAAAAGGAATCTTAAATCTTAAGTAGAAGAATATTTCTTGAGGCAAGCTCTGATCTTGTTTACGTGCAAGTGGATATAGAACATATTCATTTTTTAGAAGGTTGTGAGTTTGCAAAAAGAATTGCAACAGCTGCAACAGGATGTATGCAACCTTACCCATGCAAAACACAGAGTGATTATTTCTGATATACCCTTGATACCAGATACATTGATGCATTTACCGCCCAAAACTTCACAGAGAGCAAGAAACAAGGGAAGTGTAATGTGCCTTTTTTATTTACTCCATTTTTACCCAAAGTGAAAACATTGTCAAAAATCACTCTTTTAGCTCCATTGGCGATGGACACAAGCGACAAGAATTGCATCCAGCATAAAAATGGCTATGTTGTGTTTTTGCAAGAGTATATAGTGTTCCGAAATTTAAGATAGTTAAATAATAAAACTATATTTTTCATTCACCGACCCAAATGTAGTTGGGATTAAGTTATACTCTTGCCTCTTCCCGATGAAATTTAAATGGGAATAGTGAATTCAAGTATTTCTATGATCACTACCAATTTTTTCATGGAACCACAAGTGGTTGTATTCGGTGCACCAGGTATTAAGATTGCAAGTTCATAAAATAAAAACATATGCACACTATGAATGTTATCGACATTGACAAGCCACCCTTTCTAAACAACAAATTACGAGGCCCAAATTCAATTACATTGTTCGAACAAGGTGCAAAATCTTATCTTTTTTAAAATGGGTTTATCTATAAATTGGTATAGAAATAAAAAGTATAAATTACATATTTAAAAACTACGTCAAAAGTTCTAAAAAACAAAATGCGACAAGAATATTGGGTTTTATGAAATAAGCAATGAAAGCACACAAGTAAACAAAAGTTATCGGAAGGCTTAAATAGTAAAACCTTAATCATTAATCATTTTGGGACAGAGGAAGTAACCAAACACTAAGCAAACTGGTAAAGTTGGGTGATTCTACGAGTAGCACAACCACCAACAACAAACCCAGAGGTCTGGGGTCAAGATATACTAGTATGTTAGACCCTTGATGCATTGTTGCATTTACTACCCAAAACTTAATGGAGAAGTTTAATGTGCAATTTTGATTTGGTTCCTTATATATCCAAAGCTAAAACACTGTAAATGATTCTTTTAGCTAATGGACAACTTGGGTGATTTTAATAGAAAAAATAACAAAATGCAACATCTAGCTACTCCCTCCATCCCTAAATAAAAGCCCACTTTAACTAGGGCATGCAGATTAAAAAGAAAAATAAAAACTATGTTGTTGAGATTTAATTAGAGGAGAAAGACACAATATGAATCACACAATACTTCCTTAGAAGGGAATGGAAAATAATTATGGGGCAGACAGAAAAGTGGGAATATTATTTAGGGACAAGAGTACTTAAAAGCCCAACAACACAATCATACAAATGTGCAAATAGACAAATGTAAGGACAGTGATGATTAAAAAAGGAAACGTAAACCATTAACTCACCAAATCAGAACGTTCCACTACCCTCCAAAGTTGTCTCCAAATATCAAGATTTTTCTCAAATGGAGTAAGGACAAGATTCTCATTCTCCTCAAGTCTGCAGAAAATATTTATAATATAGGATTATGGGAATTACATTTAAGGGCACAACGAATGGTTAGGGGGCGACAGCCCAAAACTTAATTTAATAATGTACAATAGATAAGTCACTATTGGTGCTTATATTTTGTTAGTTATCGGGTGGTATAAGTAAATTCATCATATTCCACTTGCTCATGACTCGTTTTGTAAAATTATATGAAAACTAGTTTTGTTTGCTGATAATTGATTAGAATCGTTTTGGAACAAAAAAAATGACCATGATTTTTTAGACAGAGGAAGTAAGACGTTTTATCTCATCGAGCTGCCTGGTTAGCACATAACACCGCTAATCTGATTATCACTTTTTTAGGAGATTATCACATGTGACACATTTGGTTCGACTGTCTACATCAACATTGTCATTGGCTAGCACATTAAGGGGTTGTTTGGTTGGCCACATACTACCATTAATCAGAATACCAGTAACCATATTCACGAATACCTTGCTTCACCTTCTCAAGAAACAAAAATCTTCTATATTTCAAATAATAATAATAATAATACTAATACTAATTAGTAATACAAAATGAATACACACCTCCCAAACCATCTTCCCATTTTATACTAAAATCTAACAAAATAAATTAAACACAAGCGGCTTGTTGTCAAGTTGTCGCCTAGGCCACGACTAGTCGCTAGTCGCCGACTAGTCGTCCAGGCGGTTTTGGGATGGCGCTTTGCTCTTCGACTAGCGCCTAGGGCAGACTGGGCGATAAAGCGTGCAAAGCGACGCTTAGACGCTTAGGCGGTTTTGGGATGGCGCTCTGTGACAAGCCTACCAAGTACCAACAAATTCTAAAATTCACCCTACATTGCATTTATATAAGTTCTAATTTGCTGTTATGTTTTCTTAAACTCAAGTACTAGAAGTACTTAGTAACTATGTGCACATATTGAATTAATTAACTGTAACATTACTTGAAAATAATATGAAAAATGAAAACATGTTATTTTTACTTAGTGGGATAAGGCTTTATTGTTGTTGTTGCTGTTGAAAACAAATCCAATGTTGGGCCAATCCTAGCTAGCCGAAGCCTTTATGTCACTAAATAAACTACAATTCTCTTTTTTACAAGCATGGGTGTGGACTGTGGAGTGAGGAAGAGATTAGTCTTGGCAACCAAAGATGAGCACATAAAAAGGTTCCAAGAAAATCAATCTTCCCTTTCTTCTTGTTGCTCTGATCCTAAAAATCCAAAGCTAGATCTAGTTTCCTGTTGTTGAACTCTCCCTTGGTTTATCTTCTCTTTCTCTCAAGGAAAACATATTGTGGTGGATAATATTCATCCACCGCACACTGTATGCTTCTTTAAAAAGTGTGCAAAGTCAAACTAAAGGGGATGAAGGTAAGGCTCATTACAAAATTTTCACTACCATATCGGCGATCAAGAGGGGGGGTGGGGCGCGGGGGGGTAGGGGGTAGGAACCATCAATTTTACCAACAGAGCACCGTATTTTCCCTCGGTCATATTACGACATAATAAGCAATGCCAAAAGATTATTTCCCTGTGTGTGTGTGTGTGTGTGTGTGTGTGTGTATGTATGCATATATATATATATATATATATATAATTTTCTTAGAGTTAATGGTATATTGTGTCATAATATTTCACCCCTATTTCTTGTCTCTGTCATTGCCAAAGTTATAATTGAAGGCAATCAAATATATAACAATAGGATGGACTAGCATTGATTATGAGCTCTCTTGAAGCCTAGATGTCATCTAGCTGATAAGGGCATAGCTTATGCTTTCACTTATACAAAACATACAAGAACACATTGTTGAATGAGATAAACATGAAATGAGACTTCAAGGAGGTCCCTTGAAGCACATCTGTAATGAATGTCAAAATACACGCAACTTTTTCTTTATATTTGGAAACTATTGTAGGATATAGGCTGCCAGTGATTGCAAAACCACAGGAAACTTTACCATACTGGCAAAAAACTTGCCAATGCTCTAGTGACCAGCAGAGTAGTATTGCATGGCAAACAGATATACAGACAATAAATAAATGCATCACACGTTTATCATCTCAAAACTGACCTTGCAAGGCTCCTGCGCCAAATTAGAAACGCTTGCCGTTCATTGTTATCAAGCTCTTCTACAGACATTTTACTATTCCATGGGGGCCTGTAAAAGAAGGATTTAAAATTTTAACCCATGCTTAGAAAAACATACTCAATTTATTTCAAAAGAATTATTAAGTCTTGCCTCCTTGGAACACGAAGACTGCTAGCGTGCAACTCCTCCTCTCTCTTTTGTAACTCTCTCCTCTTCTCATCTGTAACCTCACTTGAGCCAGGATCCCTATCATGAAAATGCAGAAATGTGTTCATTAGATAAATTTCACGCAGGTGCGTACTCACACAAACCCGTAACACCTTCTACTTTGTCTTTCTATGTACAAATTTGAAGCAAGAACAGCTGTCAACTCCTTTGAATCACTCTCTCACCAGTGAGTGTCAGCACTACTGACTTACAGAAAAGTAATAGAATCTCCTGAAAAGAAACTAAACACTCAACCTTTTCTTGTTACCATTATTTTACTTTTACTCTTCTAGACATTCAAACTTCTTTTAACCTTTTTTGATACTTTGGTGCTATGAAGAAGGGGAGATGAACTCCTGAGTTGATCAAAGCTCATTTGTCAATTCTAACTACTCAGAATAAGCTAAAAACGAAACCTCGTTGAGCCTAACACTCGTCCGTCTTTACTTGACAGATTTAATGTCTAGTCAAGGTGAGTTGAAAATTAAACCCCTGTGAAAACACTCGTCCGTCTTTACTTGACAGATTTAATGTCTAGTCAAGGTGAGTTGAAAATTAAACCTCTGTGAAACTCCAACAGTCCAACAGAGAACAAGAACTTTATGCAAACAGACTTCATGAATGCGATAAGTTTACTTGTTTTTTTTGTCATCTCGCAGGATTGAAGGAGAATCAACGAGGAAATAGATTCAAAAAAAAAGCTTACAGATTGATGAGAATGCTAGCGGGAGGATGGATGCCGGAAAATAGGCGGTGTGCCTCATCGGCCTGATCGATGACTGCATCTATGTCGTTAACCTCGGTGACGGATTCAAGAACCTTCTTGTGCTGGTTCCGGTAGAAGCGTCCCTTCTCTTTGGAAAGCTGAACCATCTGGTTGTGGTGCTTCACAAGAGCACGACCTAACCCCGTCTTCTCCCCCTTCCCCATTTTCATGCATCAGAATTCAGAAAATGCTTACCTTGTTCCTAGAGGAGGAGGAGGAGGAGTAGGAGGCGCTAATTGCTTATTTCTATCTCCGATAGAAATATGTGTAAAATTGAAGTGATATTCTGGAGTTTACGTTTTGGGTATTGGCCCAAAGAATGGTCAATAAGGGCTTTGGGCTGAGAATGGGGTACCTCAAGTGTACACCAAGCCAATACAGACATACATAGACACAAAATGTCTGTGCAACACAGACACTTTGTGTCTGTGTGTACCAACATGGGGTACCCTAAGTGTACACCAAGCCAACACACACACAGACACTTTGTGTCTGTGTGTGTCTGTGTTGGCTTTGGTGAACACTTGGGGTACCCCATGTTGGTGTACCCCTAGCTTAATTCTTTCCTTTTTAATGAAAAATGAGATCAGGTTGTGTGAATTATCCTTTCATAATGGATAATTCTATGGGGACACCGGATATGTACACCGGATGTCCCCCATATACTCCAAACCCCCCTCCAAAAAAAAAATTCCCTCCACCCCAAAAAAATAAAATTTCTCTCTTTCTCTAGGTTTCCTCTTATCCCACCCGCCCCTTCTTGCTTCGCTGCACCTTCCCTGCTTCGTTGTCCCTGCGCCTCGTAGCATCATCGCCTGGGATTGTCTTCATCGCGTCGTCCCTGCGCCTCGCAGCATCATCCCCTGGGATTGTATTCATCGCCGTCCCTCGCTGGTGACTGTCTCTCGGAGGGCCGGTGATTGTCTCTCGCAACATCATCACCTTCCAGGTATTAATATGCTGAATTTTTACCTTTTAAGGGCTTAATTACATCAAATTTCTAGTCAAAATGGTAAATTGCAGCGATTAAATACACCAATGAAATGTGTGGTCCGAAGTAGAAGAAATAGGTATTCATATGCAGAATTTTTACGTTTTCATCTTGGAATATGAACCCTAAATTCCTAATTACCGTTATTTATGTTTATGTCCGGAAAAATGGTAAATGTATGTGAACTGCTATTCACAGACGCGGAATATCTATTTTTTGTTTACAGTTCTTGCCAGCTTTGTATCATGTTTTATCTGTCTCATTTATTACTTTTTGATCATCTATTATGAACCCTAAGTTCTGAATAATCTTTATTCCATGTTTAGTTTTTTAAAAAAAATGGCAAATGTATGTGAAATGCTACTCACAGACGCAGAATGTATGTGTTCAGTGTTACTTCCTTACGTGCTTCGTATCATGTTTTTGCCCATTTATTACTATCATATCTCTAATAGAAGTACTACGCTAAGGTTATTAGTTTTCTTTGTTCTCTTATATCCGGTGACTATGGCAATGACGGATGTTTATTTTTGTAGGCACAATAAAATGGCACTTATGGTTCCCACCAAAGATCACTTCCATGCGCAGTATTCGGTTTGTGGAGAATTATGAGATGCAGTGGCCATAGTTAGGAGCAAATTGAGTGTAGAGAATATGGTGAACTTTCGAAAAATGCCATTCGGTCATTTCATGGATGTGCGGAAGCTCCAATTTTCTGGACAACTCATCCATATCCTTATGCTACATCTCGTCCGCGAACAACCTGAAGACGAGATGTGGTTTATGATCAATGGTACTCTTCACAAGTTCACTTTTGAAGATTTCTGTCGAATCACAAGTTTGCCGACTTCCAAGTCATATCCAAATTTTATGGTGGTGAAGTCTTCGTCCAAGACTATTCACAAAAAGTATCTTGGAGGGGGGACGGTGAAATGCACCTTCGCGCACTTGCGGAATATGTTTATGACTGCGGAGGAAGATGTACCCGACAGTGATTTACATAAGCTTGCCTCATTGTATTTTGTTGAGCATGTGCTGTTAGCAAAAGATATAGGTACATGCATTGATGCCTCCCACCTCGAAGCAGTTGATGACCCTGACGTGTTCAATGCACATCCTTGGGCTTGGGAGTCATACTTCTTGACGGTGCGGCATCTGAAGGGGATGATGGATGGCCAACCGGAGAAATTTCAAGAAAAGAAAAATAACAACTCCAATTTGAAGTCTTGGAAATATGCGTTGTATGGATTTCCACTTGTTCTGCAGGTAAGTTTAATTTATATTTCTTCTTCTACATATTTTTATATGATGTTTCATAAAAAGTATTGATTTCCACACTGTCTTGTTTTCTCAGATTTCAGGATATTTATAAAACAGACACTTCTATACTAGGACATGGAAAATACTAACACTTCTCACCTAGGCTCTGAATAAAACAGACACATCTGTTTGTGTATATTTATAAAACAGAATAAAAAATCAGGGACATGAATAAAACAGACACATCATCTGTCTGACATAAAAAAACCAGACACATTTTGTGAACTTTTGTAACATGTATAATTTAAAGTATTCATCTCCATGTGTTTTATTTTCTCAGATTTGGGCTTATGAGACGTTTCCAGTGCTTGACGACGAGGTTGCTCAGTGTAATCGAGAGATAAAATGTCCACTGTTACGTTGGGGAGCCAAGAAATGCCCACAGTACCACTCTCTAAAGCAGTTGTTATTCCCTAATGAACCTGAAGAAGTCACAAATAAGATGGTATCATAGTTGAGAATTTGATAAAAGCATCATTACCATATGCTTGATGTATTTTTTATTTTTTACTAACTTATTTCCTTAATTTGTTTTAGGACAACACACTTGATTTGTTGTTTAGAAGTGTTGAAGATTTAAAGAACACTCTAAACAAAAGGGTGAAGAAAAAATCAAAATTTGTGAAGACCCCTTATCTGACCCAAGACTCTTGAAGAAAAAATACAATCCACACAATCCCTTCTCTATAACATTCAGTCATGAAGAATGGGATGAGCTGAATTCTTGGCTGGAAGAGGATGGTGGTCAATATCCTAAAAGTGTACACTTGAACTTCACAACTGTGCACTCCGTGGATCGTACTTTTTTTAGAACCCTTTTGTGCAATGATGCATGGTTGCATAGCGATGTATGTATGATTAATACATTTAATTTTCTTTTGTTTTTTCATCAATTTCACTAACTTTATTTTATACATGCAGCACATCCAAGCCATGGTAGAGGAAATGATGTGTGGCGTTCAAAAACTATCTCACCCGAAAGTGGCGATATATGGACCAATGTTTGTGGTAATTTTTATTCACTTTCTTATTGTTGTTCGAAAATCTGTGATGTAATTTTTTATGTGTTTAAAAGTAATTCTACACGTTTTGTGTAGTGTCATTTGCTTGGTAAGGGAGTTGGTGATAAATCATGGCCCCATGACAGATACTTTAGAAGACTGGATTGGACACATTTGGATAAGGTCAACTTTTTCTATTTTCAATAACCATATATGTAATAACATAAAAATGCTAATATTTTTTGTGTATAAATAGGTCTATTTTATATTGAATGCAAGATTAAAGCACTGGATTCTGATGGAGACTGATATGGTAATGAAAGAGGTTAGAGTTTACGATTCTATGTCTTCTTCAAGATCAGCTTCCGATGTAGCAACATTGGTTCAAAGGATACCGGCTCTTTTACGCACGGTAAAATGTAGAGTAGATCAAAGAACTTGCGATGAGTGGAAGACTGTTGTTGCAAAAAAAGTGCCCCAACAAAAATCTGAGTAAGCTTTGATTATTTTTCCAGTAACCTTCCGCTTTTTTATGTCATGTGTGCACTGAAATGGTTAATTTATGTTGGTGCAGTTCCAGTGACTGTGGCATCATGGTACTTGCATTTGCGGAATACTTGATGGCTGGTTGCCACTACTACCAAGTTGTAAACACGATCATGTCCAAGACTTCCGCAAAGAATTCGTTGTTCGCTTGTGGCGTTTGAGTAAAGGGAATGTACCTAAACATTGTCCTTAAAATCAATGAATGCAAGGTGTTTTTGGTTGATAACATTAGTTACCTGTTGTGAATGGGTTATCTCTTTGTAACACATAAACATTTACTCCCTGACCTGTTCGTGTAACACATATTCAAATTGTTTATGTTTTCCCATTTCGTCATGTTTCTGCATGTAATGCCATATATATTCTGCCTTTGTTGCCATATCTACCATGTTTTCTTTCACAGGCATTTTCTGCACTTATCTTTACTGTACAATGGCAGAAGTGTCTGTGTTTCTATTTTTTAACACTTCTATTTACATACTTCAGACATAAGTGTGTGTGGAAGTATTTTGGCATTTACACTTTGTATGACTTGTCTGTGTTTCTATTTTTTAACACTTCTATTTACATACTTCAGACACATATTCAAACTTTGATTATACACAAAATCACAGATTTGTTGTGTCTGTTTTTTTCTTGTCCTACGCTTGGAGTGTCTGTTTTATAAATATACCCACAATGTCAAAGATATCTTGTGTTTGAAAATTTTCACATGTCCTTACTAGCATCTTCATGTTTTGACCAAAAAATCATGACACTTAAATACATATACACACAGACATAAATATACTACCACGCACACACATTAAATGTCTGTAACCACAATGTTCTGCGTGAGATATGTCTGTGACATTTACATACAAAATCGTATTTACACAAAAATAAGGATCCATACCCTTCGAAACTATGGAATGGCTAAAGACAAGTCCAAGTTTGTAATGGTAAGGTCAAATACCCCATCGTTACCTGGGACATCCCACGCTTGAGGTGCCACTAGAACATGAGGTGATGCATCACTTAAATGTTGACTTGAAATTTCTTTTGCTCCGTTGCCTTTCTCTTTTTTGTTGATCTTTCGTTTCCAAGTTTTTTTTCTCCACTATTGACTTTAATCGAAGTTTACGAGGGACGCCTTTCCGCTTGGAACATGAGGGGTCAATGATGGTTGGCAAATTGGGATCATCTATATTTACATCAATCGGGCAGCTATTTTTTGCTTTCCTTGACTGAGATAGAAGCACCTTGTCGCGAATCCATTCGGTTACCTCATTGACCTACTCTTCATCATCCGCCACCAAGTTTGCCAATTCTTGACATTGAGTACACATAATATCATAACGTGTCTGTTCTAGGCTACATGACAAGCCATCATAATCAACTGGAACTCGCGTGTACGTTCGACACAGATCTCGTCGCCATCTATCCAATATATAGTGATCGGGTAGGAATTTAACCTTGTTCTTGATGAGAACAACAAGACAATGACGACATACAATCCCCCGAAACTCAAATAAATGACAAGTGCAAGTCACAAAATTTTTTGCAGCATCATATTGTACCACAAATCGCACCCTTTTATAGAAATCTTTACCAACTAAATCTTTGCCACAAACATCCTCATCGATTTCGTACTTGATACCATTCTCACAAGAAGAAATGTCACAGTACATCTTACTTGTTAATTCCGTTCGGAATTTTACGAACTTTGCTGAGGTATAAACTTCTTGCACTTGATTCTCCATGGGGAATGTTGTCGCGCAAGGCATACTTTTTCCAAAAGATTGTGAATCTGCCTGGAATTCATCCTCAACTCTCTTCCTCATTGCACGCTCATACTGGTTAACAAATTGTGTAAGTGTTGTTTTGGAGTGGACGTAGCCATCAAAAAAAGCATTGATGCTCTCACTCCGTTGGGTAGTAGACATACCTGCCATAAAACCAAAGATTTAAGTACCATAGACTATTGACATTTCGAGTTGTAAAACAGACACTAACTGTATATGATATGCATATAATATACATAACACGTTTGTGAAAAAACTAATTTTCAGTATGAGGAACACACCTGCCCAGAATGATGAACGACAATAACAAGGTACCCAACGTTCCTTTTCTAGAAATAACCCCGCTAGGCAAGAGTTATTTTCTAGTCCATATTTTGCAATCATATCTTTCCAAGCATGATCAAATTTCTCTGTTTCGAAGATATCAAAAACAGTGTTATTAAATCTCCAAAGTATTTTGTCCTTATCCTCATGCCCGTTAAACTTTTGTGGTGCTTTCTTCATTATATGCCACAAACACCACCGATGTCTAGTACTCGTGAACACAATTTCAATTGCACTTTTCATCGACCTGTCTTGGTCTGTTATGATACCACGTGGTGGTATTCCATCCATGCACTTGAGCCATGTTTGAAATAACCACACAAAAGATTCTGTCTCTTCGCAACAAACTAAGCCACAACCTAGAAGTATTGATTGCCCATGGTGGTTAACACCCACAAACGGTGCGAACAACATATCGTACTTGTTTGTGAGGTATGTTGTATCAAATGTCACAACGTCTCCGTAGTACTTGTAAGCAAGACGAGACCACTTATCTGCCCAAAATAGGTTTTTTAACTTTGAGTCGTCATCAAGGTCCATGCTAAAAAAACCCGTCACTTTTATCTTGCATTGTACAAAAGTATGCTTGTATGGCCATGGCATCCCCTGTACAAAGCTTCACCCTTTGCACTTGCTCTACGTAGTTCCTACAATCCTTTTCGATAAAGGACAATTTATCGTACCCTCCTGCTTCAACCACTGCTGAGTTAAAGCTCTTGTGAAGGGGGATTCCTGCTGTATCATTCATCTCGAGCCTTCTTTTTATGTGGTCAGGCAACTTCCTGTTACAATGCCACATCCGTGACTTTGATGGACTAATGTCAGGATTATGTTCCAAATTCGCCACAGTAATAGTAAACACACCTTCATCATCACATGTTGCCGTAATTCGAGCTGTGCAACCACAATTGGATCGGGCTTGTGGCTTTAGACAATTCTTAGATCGGCTCACCCTATTCCCTTCTCTACCACATGAGATTGTGATAGAACGTATTGTTCCATGACATCCCCTCCTCAAACTTCTCTTTTTAATGGGAAACCCCATTCCCTTTGCATAAGTATGGTAGAATTCATATATGGCATCATAATTC